CGTGATTGCAAGCGGCGTGAGTAAAGTTTTTTGCAACCGATAAGTTGTGTCTGCCTCTCCATTCACCAGCCCGCCCTAACGTACGACCAATTTCTAACGCAACTCGAGTCGGCTCTGGCTGTCCGAGACACTCTTAAGTAAGGAAATGACTCTTCCGTATCATCCATGCTGCAGTCACAGACAAAAGGAGCTACACAGGCTGATAACAGAAATTGGAGGAGCTGGGTTTGTTGTTGTGGTCAGAGCAGATTTGGGAAAGTCTCTGCTCCTCCATTCAACCACCATGACCATGATTTTTCTCTTATGTCATTTTCTTAAAGCATCAAGATTTCCTCCCTGGTTTTACTACAGTTGACTTCTTCATTTGGTAAATCCTTAACCCTTTTCCTAATGCATGCAGACACACCACAGCACACCCATACTCTATTCCTCTTCACCACATGCACACACACACTCCTCCCCTGCCATTTGGGTATATATTTTTCTCATTCCTCTTTACCACAAAGGGAGACTCTTCCTTTCTGTTAGCCACTCAGGACTTGAGAAAAAGGAGCCATTCATAAGCAGTACAAAAGCTAAAAGCAAACATATCTTGCATCCTGGTGCTCTATGCTGTCTCTGCCATGGCCTGCACAACTGGGAATGTCTCTGTGGGAGACCGAGTCCTGGACTGGCGAAGTGGAGCAGGGTGAGTTTTTGAAATGAGGACTAGAAACTGTAAGGGACAGTGAGCGGTTTCCATGATTGCCCCATAATATCCTGCTGGGACTCCCTGTGCCACCGGGGCCTCTAACCCCCACCTCCTGTGACAGACAGGGGCAGGAGGGAAACAATACTGAGTCCCAGCCTGGACCCAGCCAAGTGTTTCTGTCTATCACTAACCCATCTCTGCAACCTGTCCTGCGCTATGCTAAGGCCCCAAAACTCCTTCCAGTCAGGGCTGTGTAAATCTGGAGGGCAGGAAACTCTCTAATTCACCCTCAAATTGGGGCTGGTTCTGTCACTGACATGATCAAACTCTCCCTGAGGACACAGCTCTGTCCCAATGCCCTGATTCTCTCTTCTCCTGTGCAGAGAAAGTGATTCTGGATCCAGACATGGCTCATCCCTATATCATCTTGTCTGAGGACGGGAAAAGTGTAGGAAGAGGATCCAGATGGTAGAACTGGCCTGTCAACCCTAAGAGATGTACTACACTTCCCTGTGTGCTGGGCTCTGACTAGACTAAAATAGACTAGAAAATGTTGGGATTTGTAAATGCCACTAGAACTGGAAATGACCTGCATTGCACTGTTGCTTTATGTAAAGTCTTAGCTAATTTGAAATGGGGCCATTGCAAGGACTTACACATTTGATTTGGAGAAGCTTTTGTTATTTTCCCTTTTTTCCTTGTTATTGTTTAATTTTTACCAAGTGATTGGGTGTTCTCACAATTACAGAATTTAAAACTATATCTGCTGAATGAAAAATGTGTTTCTTCTTGGTGTGTGTTTTCCCCAACTCTATTTTGATATTCGGTCCCTTGATGAGAATTTTTTAGCAGAAGTAAGTAAGCTTGAAGAATTTAGCTCCTCACTGACCAAATTCCTGTTCCTTAGTGGAGGGTCTTGTTCTCAGGATCAATATGAGCACATTCAGGATCAGGATTAGGTCAGGTAGAAGGTCTGTCAAAAAGAAAATCAGCAGGGCAAAATGATAGGATCTTGCACTTGCTGGTCATTTAAAAACCTAGTACTTATATGTGAAAAAAACAGGAAAATGTGCAGCTAGTATCCTGCCTGCATTCCTTACAGCGGCTCCTAAAGCCACTGTCATGTGTGTTCGAAGGAAAGCCCATGAGGAAGCTGCTTCCTGGTGATAGCAGTGATGCTTCACCTGAAAAAGTTTCTCCAGTGCAGAGTGACTTTGGGGAGCTTGAGTCCTCTTCAGGTGAAGGAAAAAGACAAGAGTATGTTCTAGGAGGGAAAATGGCACATGCTTTTCGGAAAGCTGCAGGCGACAGAGAAAACCAGCGTGCAAGACTTTACAACCAAGAGCAAAAGCAACGAAGGAGAACCCCTAGGAAGCCACTTAGACATACCTGGTGAGATCCTTGTCTTTTATCCATTCTTTTTCTTTTCCTAACACTACTCTTATAAACTATGGAAAATCCTATCAATAGGGGATATTAAGAATGACTCCAAAAGTAATTCCTACCAATTCTAATATTAAGCTACTGACTACATGAATTCAGCTACTGACTACATAAACTAACTCATATTAAGCTATCAACTAAGCTACTAAAAATATAAATACTAATCACTAATAGTACAAATACCTAGACAGCAATAAATATAATGGAACGCCTGGGAACCCTAGTAAACCGAAACACTCTCCTTATCTAGCTCTCTTGGTGGATAGCAGCAGAGGTATGAGAGAAAATACTTGACAATGCCTTTTTCTCCCTGACATCACCAGTCTCCACAGGGCAAGGAGGAACTTCTGTCCCAATCTTTTCTCAAGGGTGTGTTGGGACCTCATGAGGCTGCAGCAGGTCCTCCTTCCCCCCACCCCTCCCTGCCCGATATCCGATATACCCTTTTGCACCCCTGTGTCCTCCTTTCTATGTGGTACCAACCAAGGTCAACAAGGACATCCTGAGTTCAACTAATTTTTGAATTATTTGTTCAAACTGGAGGTCAAACTAGATGGGAGGTAGCTTTGGCTTGGGGAAGAGCAAAGGCCTGGCCCAGGACTGCGGGTCCGTCCAACTCTTGTGCCTGCAAGGAAATGGAAGAACAGGGGAAATGTTAGGAAAACACTGAAGCTCCCAGGGCTCAGGGCACAACATCTCCTTTGTGGTCTCTGTGGTGGCCATGCTGGCTGGTCACGGAGGCAGTTCGGGCTGAGCAGGACGCTGCCTGACTTCAGCTGTCCTCTCCTGCCAGTGCTGGGGATGCTCTCCTGTCCCACAGCTGTTCTGGCACTTTCCAGCTGTGTGGGATGGCTCTGGTCTCCCCACACAATAGCATGGAGCCCCTTCCCTGCCCTTCTGGGCTTTGTCACCCTCACCCTGATGGGCCCGAACAGCTCATCCTCTCTGGCTCCAAGCAGAGCCTCAGTGCCAGACAAGACCCAACCTGGGGAAGGTGCTTGGGGTGGAGGGTATTGGGGACTCCAGGGGATCTGTAATAGGGATGATTTGGAGAAAGGAGGAGGTGTCAGAGGCTGTACAGGGGTGATTGTGGGAGGGTCCCTGGCAGGGAGAGGACTCAAGGCACAAAGATACTCAGCTCCCTGCTGTCAAAGCTAGTCCCACTGACACCCTCCCTGGCTCCGTGTGGGCAGACATTAATGTCCAGGGATCTCGCACATGGGCCTATGAGAAAGCCCTTCACCTTCCCCCTCCTCTTACCCAAGCCTTGGCCTCTGCCTTAGAAGCAACTCCTCCTCCTCCTCCCACTCCTGCCTCCAGTCCAGAAAATATTTCTCCACCTGCTGCTCCTTCTCAACCCAGAGCTGGAGGGTCAATGGGACACAAAAGGGAACAAAGAAGGAGTCAGTGCAGACAGCAACTAGCGACCCCACAAGACATATCCCCACAGACACACCGTGGCTCAGGGCTTCACCTTTCTCTGCAGCACCCCCAGCTTCTGGATGCCATGGAGCTGGACAAGGGCTTTTCCATCTCTGCCACTGCTGGCTTTCCTGGTCCCATTTTTGGAATGGCAGGAAAGCCCACCAGCTTTGAATGCTTGGGCACTCGTTGATATTATTAACATCCTGTCAGGAACCAGGGACAGTCCCTTAAGTGCCTTGACATGGGCATGGGCTGGGGTTCCTTCTGCACACTCTGTGTGATCCCGAGGGGGTGAGAGGCTGTGCTGTCCTCCACACTGTCCCCGGTGCCCCAGTAGTTGCAGGGCCCTGGCAGGCAGCTGAGGCTCTGTCCAGGGTTGCCCAGAACGGATCTTGCCTGACTTCACCTTCACTGGAGCCACAGGTGGCCTGGGACACCCTTAGGACACTTCATTCATTTTGCTGGATATGCATCAGTTAGAATTACCTGCCAACAGAAATGATTGTAGGTCAATCCCACCACTTGTCCATTGATTTCTAATCACACAAGAGATTGAATGAAATGTACTTTTGCATGCCCCACAGTGACTGGCCCAACAGCTGCGGAGTTGGAGAAGCTGAACTTAGTGATTAATCGCCAGAATTATGTTTTTCTAAACATTTCCTCAGCTCAGGATATCTGAGAGCTAGGGCTACATCGCTGACCACACTTTGTCCACTGTCAAGTCTCCAAGTTTTAAAAATAACCCTTATGAGCTTTGCAGTAACTGTGATAATAGGCCTTATTGGTAGAGAGTTATATCCATGAATCTCCTGGCAACCTTGGGAAAGGACCAAGATGGCATGGGACTTTGCCCAATGCATGGGGCTCTGTAACAAGTGGCCTTCTCAGGGCTGATCTCACCGTAGCCCCGCCCACCTCCTTACCTGCCATGCCTTGTTGGTAATTAGTTAAATGATGTAATTAAGCGGGAGGCTGCCCATTTTCTGCCCCGATGCCAGGGGGCGCTATCTGCGGCTCCATTCCTCCCGTACACTGCAGCCCAAGCCTCACAGATGGTATTTGAAAATTGCTCTTTATGTTGGGGTCTAGGCCACTGTGGGCCTACCCCTTTTTTTCTCTCTCTAGCTAGGCCTGTCAGTCAAAAAAAACCCCAAAAACCCGCCCCACTAATCAGGGTTTTGACTCCCAGGCTCTAGCTCTCAAAAAAACCCAACCCCTCACTCGGGCTCTTACCCCTCTGTGGTGCTGGGGTCTACTCACCCGTAAATGCTGCGCCCTCTCTGATGCTGGGGTCAGCTCACCCCAAAATGCTGTGCCCGCTCTGGCACCGGGGTCCCCACACTGCAGTGGGCCCCCAAATGAGGCCTCCTCTTTCCCCAAATAGCCTCACCCAAACCACCGGTTGTTAACATCAAACAAGGGAGGCAACATGCCTGCTTACTTCAGATGATCATGAGGATGACTCCGGGCATGGTGTAGTCTTCAGACAGAGACTGCAGCTGCAGCACCGCAGTCATTGGGAGTCCACCTCCCTGCTGCCTCTCTGGCCTTCTCCAATCGCCATTTGTAGGGTCCTGGCCTCCCTCTTCCTGTCCCCTGACCGGCTGCAGGGCTTGAGCCTTAACCCCTACGTGACCGGCCGGCCGTGATGGGAAGGTTCTGGACATAAAGGGGCCACCGTGTCTCCTAGTAACAGGGTCAGGGCTCCCTGTTACAGGCTCCCAGGCTCCATGGTCTACCAATGACTCCTTGCAGTCATCAGGATGTCCCTCGTGCACCCTGTGCCTCAGGTACCCCATCTATACAAGCATAATATAAGCACTTGGTTTGAAATCCTCAGGCCATGCCACACTCACCTGGTTGCTGCTGCCAGGTGCCAAACATTGGACCATTACCCTTGTCCAGCCAAGTGCTGGGGAGGGGGTGGTCCACAGGCTTCCAGGTGGTGTTAATGGAATGGGCTTCTCGCGTGCTGCCAGGGACCTGGAGCTGTGCAAACTGTATGGGAAAAGTCCTGGGCTCAGAGCACAGAGCCCCAGAGCACAGAGAAGGGGGACTCCAGGGGATCTGTAAGAGGGATGACTGGGAGGAAGGAGGAGGTGTCAGGTGCTGTAGAGGGGGTGAGTGTGGGAGCATCCCTGGCAGGGAGAGGACTCAAGGCCCAAAGCTGCTCAGCACCCTGCTGTCAGAGCCAGCACCACTGATGCCCTCCCTCGCTCCATATGGGCAGGCATTAATGCCCAGGGACCTCCCACATGAACAAGCCCTTCACCTTCTTCCTCCTCTCACCCCAGCCTCCGCCATTGAAGATGCTGCTCCTCCTACTCCCACTCCTTCTGCCTGTCCTGAAAATACCACCTGCTGCTCCTTCTTGGTCCAGAACTGGAGGTTCAGTGGGACGCCGAAGGGAACAAAGAAGGAGTCGGTGCAGACAGCAGCAAGCAACCCCTCAGGACATCCCCACAGATACTCCAGCTGCCCCTCCTTATCCTAGTGTAGTGACACTTGACACATTTACATGCCTGTTGATCAATGAGTGTGACCGGGGCTGCACAATCATGCACAAGGAGGCCCCACTATAGGGCTCAGTGACAGGTGTGTTCTTGCCAGGACACCCTCACATGTACACACAGATTGCCAGAATGCGGGCTCCTTACTATGTGTATGTGTGTGTTTGTGTTTATGTTTGCATGCAACCAGCACCCACAGCCCAATAACCATATATGCCACCTTTCAGCAGCCTTTGCTTGGAGAGGGAAGTACCTAACCCGGTACTACCTGCGTTATACATGTATGTGTTACCCAGGACACCCTCAAATGTGTGCAGAGACACCCAGAGTGTGGGCTCCATACTGTGTGTGTTTGTGTGTGTGTGTGCGTCTGCTTGTGTTTGTATGCATC